TTTGTTCTTCTGTCACGGAAGTCAAGCCTGCTCCATTCATCACAGGTTTGGCCACTCAACATTTGACACCACAATGATAAATAGAAATGCTAACACTACTCAAACTTTCCCTACATGCTAGTCACTGTACTAAGCGCTTTATATCCACATTAAAAAAGCGCTTTTTAATCCACATTATACTCTTGTGAAGTGGTAGTGAAGATCCCTGTCCCTGAAGGTATTCAAGCCCCAAAACCATCTGTTGGTAGCATTATTGCCAGGCACATTGGCTCACACCTGTAATCTCGGCACTTTGGGAGCCCAAAGAGAGTAGATCGCTTGAGCTCAGGAGTTTGAGACCAGCTTATATAGGTGGGGAAACTCCCACCTCCCTAAACTAAGAGGCCTTGTATCACAGTGTGTATTTTCATCACGAGCACACATTTTTCTTTACCTCTCCCCTTATAAACTGTGGACTTCTTACAAGATCTCATTAGCAATGTGGGCTTTCTCGTGTCCCTGTGGTTCCATGGATGTTCCCAAGCTTACTGGTTTTGGAGTCTTGCATAGGTAAGCATCCTGGTAAGAGCTATAACTGCTCTTCTTTTTGCCCACTTATGGTGGGGTGGGGGTAGGGGGAGGACATTAGAATGAGGCTCTGAAGTCTTTGAGGCACTTTTGGAAGCTCAGTTGTGCAGGTGCCTGGAAGAAGTGTGATGAAATGAGTTGAAGCTCTCCCAAGGAGAAGAGAAGGCTCCCTGGACGTTGTTACTACTGGTATGTTTTTTGGTACCATAGCTCAAGGGTTATCCCCCAGAGCCCCAGACACTATGAAGAGGGCCAAAGGGTCCTGATCTTAAGGGCAGGGTGTAGGCAGAGGAAATCCCTGGAGCTGAGGATCCTTCTCTTCACAGTGATTCTGTTGGCCCTCTTCATAGTGTCTAGAGCTCATTTACTTCAGTGTGTGGAGACTTCTGGGAACCAGAGTCATGTAGAAAAGTCTCCTCCCCAGTCTACCTCAAATAGTCTCCCTCCTAGGAGAGCCAGCTCATCTATCTCCAGTTCTTGGGTTACTTTCTTTACTGAACTCCATTTCTGCTCCTTCACTCCATGTTGAAACAATTCTCTTTAAGTCCATCTGCGCAAGACTGGGCAAAGCTCCCCTGGACACCATCCTCTCTCCAAGCTCCCAGCCCCAGCAACAGAAATATTTCATAATTAAGCAGTCTTCTTTTTCTGTTATTCAGCTTTCAAGTAGCACTGCATCACAGTTCAGCCAGACTTGGTATTTGGCCCAACTTATTATCTTCTTGTAGTGCAGCGTTGCCTTTTGGAAACCTGAATAGCCAAATTCCTATTTCATCACTATTCCTGGCATCCTTTAACTTGGCTGTGATCAAGATCACATGAAGGATTGAGTGACTGTTAAATCTAATCAGGTAGGGCACCAGTAATGAGAATAGGCCAGGCCATTTGGATTTATTGTTAATATCTGAATAGTTACTTCCAAATATTGGTGAGTATTCTAGATGTAACCTGGAGTGAAATTTTCCTTGTGAATTAAAAAAAATTATTATATTGAAAGTCTACCAGCCAGTGGAAGTATAAATGAATATTTATTATTTATTATTTTAAGAAAGATGTTATTATTAATGGTTGTGAGAGCTTATATATGAAACAATTATTTAAAATTTCTACATGGTTAAAAAATAGGAAATTAGTTCACAGGTAATATAAATAATAGGAGAGAGTGTGTTAGCTAGAGAATTTTAGGAAGAACCTTATGTCCCTTGATCAACAATGGTTTGAACTGTGCAAGTCCACTTACATTCCAATTTTCATCTGCTTCTGCCATCCCTGAGACAGCAAGATCAACCCCTCCTCTTCCTTCTCCTCCTCAGCCTCCTTAACGTGAAGACAATGAGGATGAAGACTTTTATGATAAGCCTCTTCCACTATAGGAATGGTAAATATATTTTTTCTTCCTTACGATTTTCTTAATGACAACTTTCTTTTCTCTATCTTACTTTATTATAGGAATATGGTACATAATACATATAGCATACAAGAGATATGTTAACTGAATGTTTATGTTATTGGTAAGGCTTCAGGTGATCAATAGACTATTAGTAGTTAAGTTTTGGGGGAGTCAAAGGTTATACTTGGATTTTTGACTACACAGTAGGCACCCTTAACCTCCATGTTGTTCAAAAGCCAACTGTACCTTCTGAGACCAAGGTATGTATGTATGTATTTATTTTGAGATGAGCTCTCATTCTGTTACCCAGGCTGGAGTGCAGTGGTGCCCAGGCTGGAGTGTTACCCAGGCTGGAACGCAGATCATGGCTCACTGCAACCTCGACCTTCTGGGCTCAAGATATCCACCACCTCAGCCTCTGGAGTAGCAGGGACTACAGGTGTGTGTCACCACACCCAGCTAATTTTTGTATTTTTTGTAGAGATGGGGTTTCACCATGTTGCCCAGGCTGGTCTCAAACTCCTGGGCTCAAGTAATCTGCTCTGGTTAGGCCTCCCAGAGTGCTGGGATTACAGGTGAGAGCCACTGTGCCTGGCTGAGCCCAATGTATTTACAACAATTTAATAAACAGCACAAGTAGTATTTAATTTAACAAATAGTACAAAACAGAACAATAGAAATTAGATTACATCATAATTCTATCTATGATTTAATTATGTCATAATCTTTTTAGAATTGGTTGGTGTATTATCATTTACTATGTAAATAAAATAATCCCATAAGAAGTACATATATTTGAAAGAGTTTTTTGAAATGAAGATAAAACTTACATAAAATACACATCTTTTTTTTTTGTTTGTTTATTTTTATGACCACTTGCCGCCTCTTGAAACAAATCTTAAGGGTGCAGTTCAATGAGCTTTCACATAGGAAACATATCCAGACCAAGAATAGAATATTTCCGGGTCCTCAGAAGGCTCCCCCATGCCCCTTCACAGTTGGTACTTCCCCAACGCTACAACTATTCTGACCTCTATCGCCACAGGTTACTTCAGAACTTTCTAGTTATTTAATGCTATTTAGGTCATGAGTCTTTCAAGAAAAAGTTTTATTTGGAAATTCTTCTTATTTTGGGAGGATGTATTGAAGGCATAATTTTTAGCCACTTTAAATTTTGTGAGGAGAATGTCTTTAAAACCATCTTATACATAGAAAGATCATCAATAAAGAAGATAGAGTTGTGAAAAAAGAATAAAATGAAGAAAAAAATTGGCTGCCCCAAGTATCTTGCTTTTCTATGCACCGCAAGTGAAAATCATCTCTTTAGAATGGTAAATGTAGTATAGTGACCACAAGAGTTCAAAACAAATTCAGATTTTGGATAAACTTCAGATTTATTAGAGAATCCCAGAAGTCCATTCGATGATGGCAATGTTCTGTTTCCAGGCAGTAGTTATTTTTACACTCAGTCGTTTGGCTGTGGTGACCAACTCATCAACTTATTGGCCCTCATTCTGTTAGAACTGTTCAATGATCTGCTCTCCTTGTCTTTTAATCATCCTTTCCCTACCTTCTCTCCTTATTATCTCAGACAACCTGGCTGCCTTGCAGGACTCTGCCTGCGGGCTTGTCCTCTAGCCCACTCATGATCATCACTTTGGCAGAAGAAAGTCTCTGGGGAGACCTTAGTGAGGGTGTTTGCCTTGGTCTGCGTGTTTTCCAAAGATGGAGATTGCTACTACTAGTTATCATGATCTAATACCTATCAGTCCTTGGGGCTGACAGGAGTTCCATAGATATCATTTCCACATCTTTACCTGGAATCCTATTTGGCAGGTAGGATGCCTCTCATTTTGCTGTAGAGAAACAGACTAGCCAATTGCTCGAGGTCATGTAGACAAGAGTCAGGATTTACACCTGATTCTGTCTGGCTCCCAAGCTTACTCTGACTCTGGTCAGTAGTGAAAAAGCACAGCAGTTGATAGGGAGGGACAGGTAGAGTGGAATCCTCATCAGGGTTGGGAATGTCTTATAATGAATTTGGGTTTGAAATTGGGCGGGCATGGGATACAATGCAACTTGTTTGGGACTGAGATAAAGGGAGAAAGAAGGGGATGGTGCTGGTCAGGCAATGCTGGAGAGACCATCAGGACTGGCCAATACCAAGCCATATCTTCTCCAGCTCCACTCACCAGAGCAGGAGAAATGGTATCTGTAGCCCAGGGGGACGGGGAAATGGCATTTTCGCATCTCAACCCCTCAGGCCTGGGCAGACTGCCAGAGTGGAGAGCCAGGGAAGCAACGAGGCAGGGGAGATCATTATCAGGAGGAAGGAAGCTCTGGCAGCTCCCACCAGCCTGTTTGTGACAAGCAGGCTCAGGGCCACGGAAGTCCTTTAAGGTCAAAGGAAATGTGATCCTGGATCTGGGGGATGAAGTTGAGACACTCCCTTTACCATATGTCTTCAGGCCAAGGGGATCCAGCCAGAGCCAGGCCCAGGGCCTAGGTTGGAAGAGCAGTGGTCTAGAGAAGTGGGAGGGGCAGTTAGAGAGGAAGAGAGAGAAGGAATAAATGCCAGAGCACCTTATAAACAATCTCTTGGCTAGAGAGGTAATGATCTTTATTGCAGCCAACACAGGGTAACTGGCTCTTCAGAGCACTCATTTCTTCATGGGTGAACTCTTACCTAGTTCTCCTCTTGCCCTGTAATGGTGTCTTCTTTGTTGCCCAACTGGTAGAGTGGAAAGTACACTATATTTAGAGTAATGAGACCTAGGTTCAAGTCCAGGTTCTGCTACTAACTAATTAGACAAGCTTTTTAATTAATTAAGCTTTTTAAAATCTCCATTTCCTCATCCATAAAGAAAGCATACAATCCCTGTCAAGTCTATGTCACAGGGGATTAGAGGATTCACGGGGAGGCTCTACACAAATATGAAGTGATATTTATTTATATTTTTCTTTGCTTCAGGTCACCTCACTGCCACGTCAGAGCTGGGGAAGACTTCTAGTTCAGGAACAGAAACAGCTGTGTCCACAAATCCCATATGCCCCTTTTCCATTTATTTCCTCCCCTTGTCATGCTGCCATGATGCCAGGGGGCAGGGGAGACATGTGCAAAGGCATAGACCAGGGAACCCACAGCCCTGAGCTTGCTCAGCCCCTTTCTTGGGGATAGGCATCTGGGGAAACAGCAACAAAAAGATGAAAGGCCATCCCTCTAGAACTCGGCTCACCAGAGTGTCAGCTTCAGCCTCCCAGCAGATGTTGAATCAGGAAGAGCCCCAAGAGATGAGGGGAAGAGAATGCTCTGGGTGTAGGGGAGTGGTGCAGAGGCCTGGAGAGGGAATTGAGGCTCAGCAAGGCAGTCTGGAAACCTAAAGGACTCTGTCCAAGTGCACAGGCACCAGGTGGAATTGCTGAGAGTCTTTTTTCTGGGGAGGCTTACAGGCCACTATGTAAGACTTGTTCTGGCGCTTCTCTTTGTACCTGCAGTTCGGGTACTTCCCTGAGGTGAGTTGACACATGGTCAGGGACACGGGCCCATGGCTCTGGTGGCAGTTTTTATCGCCATTCTTGCAGGCTCTGTTGGAGGTCTGGCAGGTGGTGGCCACACGGGGGAAAGGCTCGTGTAGGAAGGTGTTAAGGTCTTTGCACCGTTTTGTGTGCTTGTTGATGTTTTTCATGGCTGAGTTGCATGCTTGAGGGCTGGGCTGCACGTGCTGAATTTGAAACCACTGAGATGGGGTCATGCCCTTGGGTTTGGCACTGACTGGGATCTCTGCCACCCACAGCCCGAGCAGCAGAAGCAACAGAAGGGGGCAGAATCCTGCTCTGGCCGGTGCCATCTCTCCAAGCGGGGAGCAGTCAGAATGGAGGGCAGGGGTCGCTGGGACAGAGGTGTTCAGTCGAGAAATTAGTCCTCCTATACTTGCTCATATGAGCTAATCACCCATCTCCCTACTCGATTGTCTCCTTTCCTCACTGTCTCATCTCTGCCTCTTCTTCTGTGTGTCCACATCCGCTGCAGTCCCAACACCAACCCTGTGGCCCCATCTCTCATCTTGTATTTCTGCTCTCTTCATTCTGTCCCTGTTGCCTGTCACTCTTTGTCCTCTCCCCTTTCCCTCAAATCTCATCTCTTTTGTGTCTCCATGTTCCTGTGTCCCCATTCCCATCTCGTCTGTGTTCCCATTCTTTTTCATTTTTTTGCCTCCATCCCCAACATCACTCTCCCCTTTCCCCAATGTGTGTCCCCATCTCCCCTAAATCCAGTCCCTCCTTTAACCATTTTATAACTCACTCGAGTGTACTGTCAGGATCGGAGTCCATCCCTCCTTCTCTGTCCTCACTCCTCCCCAGATCCTGCTGCAGCCTCACCTTTGTGCTTGGTCTTCGTGCCGTGACTCCTGCTCAGTGGGCTGAGGCGGTGTCCACCCGCTGCTAGGCTGTCAGATCTCTGAGGGCCTCTTCTCACTCCTGAACTCCTTAAGAGCTGGCCTGGGCTATGCTGCGTCTGTTTGGAGGCGGGCTGGGGAGCATCACTGGATCAGGAAATGAATCAGGTTCATGACTCTCCACTTACATGTCCCAAATACGTGGACACCTAAGGATGCCTGTACCTGCCTAAACATGTTCAGCAATGAGGAAGCTTGAATCGTCACATTCAAAGACTGTATTTGTCCCCTGGCCACATGGTTCTAATGACTCTTTAATAGAACACCTGATCCAGGTGTCAACTGAAATCAATTTCAGGAAGAGTTGTCATTTATATCCTCTCATATACACCTATGGTCCACGATCCTGGGAAGAGTCAATCACTGTGATGTTAAAGGTTGCTTCTTCTCTGATCTGAGGTACAGATCAAACAGCCTAGAAAGATGCTTTGTCTGATTCCTTGTCATCTGGAGATACTGCTTATCTTTCGAAGGAGATGGAAGAGACACGAGGGAGGTGGGTGACTCATCACTGTCATGATGCCCGGCACCATCCCCAGTAGCAAAGCCATTCCACAATGATTCATGGGCCTCTCCAGTTCCAGGTACCAACCAAGGCCATGTGGCTTTACCTGGAGAAGGCAGCAAACACCTCTCAATTTCACTTGTTCCCTCCCTTTTTTATTGAAAATTACAAAACTTTAATACTTCCCAAATGTTTGTGTTTAAAATGCTATTGGTGTTGCTGCTCTCAACATCCTGCCTTAGTGCTTCCTTCACTTTGCATGTCCTGTTCCTTGTGGTGGTGACAGCTGTGTGCAGTGCTACTCTGGGGGCTCCTGTGAGCTTGGAATATGACACTTAGGAGAACCGAGACGCCAAGACAGAGAAGCATCACCCTCTGTGCGTGAGAAGGCCTGTGAAACTGAGATGAGTAGTATTTTTGTTTTCAGAATTTACCTGTAAGTAGTAGGTAATCTCAGAATCTTGGGCATGATTCATTCATGTAGTCAACAAATATTTATTGAGCACCTACTAAGTGTTGAGGTACTTGGGATATATCACTGAACAAAAAAGGCAAAAATGGCCAGGTACGATGGGCCACACCTGTAATCCTAGTACTTTGGGAGGCCACGGCAGGAGGATTGCCTAAGGCCACGAGTTCAAGACCAGCCTGGGCAATGTGACGAAACTCTGTCTCTACAAAAAATTTGAAAAATTAGCCAGGCATGGTGGTGCGTGCCTGTGGTCCCAGCTGCTCCAGAGGCTGAGGTGGGAGGATTGCTTGAGCTTTGGAGATAAAATCTGCATTGAAAAATCTTGATTGCACCACTGCACTCCAGCCTGGGTGACAGAGTCTTAAAAAACAAACACACAAACAACAAAAACAAAGACAAAAGTCCCTGCCTTTGTGGAGCTTACATTCCATTGGAGAAAGACAGTAAAAACAAAATGTATACTTTGCTCAAAGTGATAATTGCTGGGGATAAAAGTAGAACAGTATAGGAGTTGGCGGTCAGTAATTTTATATAAGATGGTTGAAATCGCTGACTCTGGGACAGAGACTTGAAGATAAGAGTGAACTTGTGATTATCTGGGAGGAAGAATGTTTCAAGTGAAGAGACTAGCACTGCAAAAGCCCCAGAGCAGACAGATGCCTAAGGTGTTGGAGGAACAGCAGCGTGTCCAGTGTGGCTGGAGCAGGTGATTGAGAGTTCAGAGAGGAACCAGAGACAAGGTCATTGGGAAGACTTACAGACCATTTGAAGGCCTGTGACTTTTACTGCAAGCACAATAGGGAACCCTAGGAGGGTTCTAAGTAATGAACAAAGAACTTGTCTGCTTAAAGGATTACCTGGCTGTTGTGTGGATTATAACTGTGGAGAAGTTGCACAACCCATCCTGATCATAAGGTTTGTGTTCTGGTCCAGCATTTATGATTCTGAGTCAGGAGGATGGGGAGTTTGTTTTGAGTCCAGGAAGACATTATTTTAGTAGATGGACAGCACAGCTGTGGGTTGGGGGTCAGGATGAAGGATCTTTGGAAGAAAAAGTGGTGTTGGAGATGAGAAATGCCACTAGATGGCAAAAGAGAATCAAGAACAAATTCACACAGGCCTTTGGCTCTTCTGGTTTGTCCTCAGCGAGGCCTTGGCTAAGGGAACAGCTGTTCACTTCTTTGTTAAGGTGTCCCAAGCTTTGCAGGCTGAACTTCTGGATAGAAGTTCTGGATAGAGAATTATGCCCCTGCTGCTGTAGAAACATGAATGTTAGGAGATAAAATCCACGGTTTAAACCAGGCTGTATATCAAATGTGTATCAGCAGAGGCCAGTCTAGCCTTTGGAATGGAGGCTGGGCGGAAGGCTGCAAGCTCATTTGAATGCCTAGCTTGGTCTCCTTTCTACTTCTCATTATTCTAGAGTGAGATGTTTTCAAGCCATGATTTAAACTTCCCTCTGCACTTGTGTTTTCCTGACATTGTAATTATCCTAGTTTGTTCTTCAACTCCAGTATGCTGGGCTGTGTAGAAGGCTGCCTTAGGACTGTGTGAAAGTGAAATAAACATGGCCCTACTGCCTCAGTCCAAAGGGAAAAGAGAGTAAAGGTTTAAGTTTGCACATGAAAATTGAGATAGAGTTGAACCTACTATATGTGCAATTCAACTGAAACCTTTGTTTTGCCTCAATTATTTGGATAAGGGAGGTGATTCTGTTTGTGTGCCCAAATTATCCAGCTTCCAAGATCTGCTTCACCTTGTACTTGGTAGGCTAATTTTGCTATTTTGCCTTCACTGCATTCATGGGGCAACAGAAAAAGATGGAGGAAGGGGGACAAGGTTAGGAAGAAGAAAAAGATTCAGGCATCAGGCCAGGGACTGGTTCAGGAGTTTCACAGGAGGGAGAAGAAAGACTTAGAGAGAGCAAGAGCAGAAGACAAAATTGTGGGAGAGAAGACAGAAGGGAAGAAAAAGTCCCTTACACCAGCAGTCTCTACCCCTGCTTCCTTCTCATTCTATCGTCGAAGTCACTGCTGTTGGCCCAGCTTCTCCTTAGGCTGCTGTTGTGTGTGTGTGTTTAAGTTGGGGCGGGTGTTGTGAAAATCCCAACAGTGCCAGGTGGATCTCTGCCTGTCTTCCCCACAGGACAACAGCTGCTGCTTCCTCTCGCCTGTGCTGGGAGGGAGTGAAGGGGGAAGGGAGAGAGGAGGGCTGGGCCTGGATTGGTGCCTACCCTTCAGAGCCAAGCCTCTCTGCCTTCCGGAGTTCCACACAGCCTCTGGATACCAATGGAAAGCCCATGAGAGTTTCCTTCCAAGCAAGAGCAGATCCAAGTTCTGTTATCCTAATTTTGTTGGTCCTTTGATAAATAAAGGTAATGGGCTCATTTTTGTAGACTGAGAAAGTGAAACATACAGCAAGTTGAGATCAGATGTGGGACTTGCTTCAGGTCCTTGAATTCCCATGACCTTTCCTGGAACAGCTGTGGGTCAGAAGGAGGCAGCACTGACAGAAGTTTGGAATCCTTGGCTCCCAGACCAATGCCTTTAGACAAGCCAGGATGGAGGAAAGAGGAAACTGATTCGGGGGTTCACTGAAGCCTTGTCTCACAAGCCCTCCCAGCTCCCCATTTATGTACAGAGCAAAGTATCATTTCCTTAGCCTGGTAATCAGGGTCTGCCACAAATGGGCAAATCTGCCTTTCTAACTTTATCTCTGACTTTTCTCCCGAGTGCCTCAACCCCAGCCAGGCGGGTTTCCCCCCATTTTTCAAGCATGTCTTTCATAATCTTCTTTATCTCCGCTTAACTTCTAACTTCACCACGAGATCCATTTCCAAGCCAGGGTTACCCCTGAGGAAAACTTTCTCTGACCCTCCAAATTCAGAGACATCTTTCTCACCTCTAAATTCCTACAGCATTTACTGTCTTCAGAATGTATAATTTTCTGCCTTGAATCACTGGTTATTTCTTCATATGTACGTATTATCTTTCTCTTAAAGACTGTCAATTCCCACAACACGAGGACCACCTGTTATACTTCTTTTGCACATTTCACAGTATATAGCATAATGCCTTGCATGTAAGTGACCCTAACTGATTCAACTTTTAGAAGGCATTCTGTCTGCTCCTCAATGATCCCAGTCTGAGATGGGATTGCTACCAGCCCACAGAGATGGTTAGCAGATGAGGAACTGACAATGCAGCTTCTGGACTTCAGCCCTGGGTTTGAGGTGATGCTACGAGAAGAAGGTTGAGATGGCTGAGGCAATCCTTCGGTTTCAAGGACAGCTCAGGAACTGTCCATGACACAGTATATTGTTTGAGCAACTTGAATTGGACAGGGCAAAGGGTAATGCCAATGAGATCATGGTGAGCCCACTCAAGGCAAAATTTTGGGGTTCTCCTCAGTCATAGGGAGTCACCCTTGCACCTGCCACCCTAGCCAGTTGTTCTACAAATGTTTACCATTGGGGAGGGCAGGGAGAGAATGTGTAAATGATTACATGCAGAGGGTCATCTTTACAGGAAAAACAACTTAGTTATTGTTTCAATGGTGAACTATCAATACACATTTTGCTGGTAGAATCAGCACCATTACAATCAACATTTGTTTAACAAAAATATTTTTAAGTCCCAGATGTTTATCATTTTCATTAATACATAAGATACAAGTAAGTCTGCTTTTGTTAAGAAATTTGATTAGCGAATTATTTAGACCAGGGCTTCACAACCTCAGTGTTATTTACATCTTGGTCTGGATAATTCTTTGTTATGGGAGCTATCCTGTGAAATGTGGGATGTTCAGCAATATCCCTGGCCACAGGCCAGTAGCAAGTCCTGGTTGTGACAACCAAACATGTCTCCAGACATTATCCAATTGTCCCTGGAACTACTGAATTAGACATATGACCTTGAGCAAGCCACTGTCCCTCTAGAACTTAGGTTTTCATCCCTAGGGTAATGCTTGAGTATGTAAAACCCAGTGTAATGGGACAACAATCCCACTAATCTCAGGCTTACAGAGCACATGACACCATGTTGAGGATGTCAGAATGGATGAAGTAATCTTATTCATCAGCACCTCTAGGATAGGATTTTAGGGAACAGATCACCAGGATTGCAGTTGGGAACCCAAAGGCTCATCATCATTATATCATTTAAGTTCTGAATGCTTTCCTCTATAACGTACTGTTCAGTTTCTGTAATTGTCTGGCAGAAGTGAGTAGTGTTGGGTGTGGGGAGTGAAGAGCAGTGATGGATGGGTGGGGAATGAAGGAAGAGGAAGACCAAAAGGTATAAAAAGTCCCTTTCTATTCTCAGGGAAGCTGCAGCCTTGAGGGACCAGGGAAGAGGTGGCATGATTCAAGGCAGGGACCACAATGTGGTTGGCTTCCTCAAAGCAAAGACTTGAGTCAGCCAGGCTCAGGCAACACCCTGCATCGGCACCCACTCAGTGTTGTCCTGTGGAGCAGCCTGAAGAATACAGATGAGCCACCTGCCCATGTGGGCTCTCTCCTCACTTGCTTGACTGTGCCCACTTCCTTGGGGAGGCCTTACAACCAGAGGCTTTCTAAGTGGGACCTCTGGGTTGAGTCTTTCTATGAGCTAGCACCATGAGATAGATGGGGGCGAGAAGGAGTGGTGCAGCAGCAGGGTTCCAGATAGAGGAGACAGCAGGAGATAGGGCATGGAGGAGGTGAGGGACAAGGTGGGAATAAAGCAGGGATGCAGACGCAGTTGCACACATGGGCAGGTGCAAGATCATGGGAAATCTTATGTCCTGTGAGATGTAGTTTGGACTATACCCTACGACAAGCTTGTCCAACCCATGGGCCACAGGCCACGTGTGGCCCAGGATGGCTTTGAATGCAGTCCAACACAAATTCATAAACCTTCTTAAAACATTATGAATTTTTTTTGCATGTTTTAAGCTCATCAGCTGTCATTAGTGACAGTATATTTTATGTGTGGCCCAAGACAATTCTTCTTCCAATGTGGCCCAGGGAAGCCAAAAGATTGGGCACCCCTACCCTATGAGAAACAAGCTATTGCAGAGTTTTAGACGAAAGAAGGGACCACATTTTTTCTCTTGAAGTTGAATCAGATATATACTTGAGTTGAGTCTTACTGGAGTTGGAGTGTGTGTGGTGTCCAGGAGAGACAAGAGCATCTGCTGAGAAAGAAATCAGAATGGAAGAGATGGGCTTGGGAAAAAACATTTAAGATTGTCAGGGCTGTGTGACTGATGGACTCAGGCTCATACTGAGGACTCACCATGTGCCAGGCACTGGTCTAAAATCTCTTGATATACATCTTAATGGATCCTAATGCTGCCATGAGGTAAAAAATACTATCCTTATGAACAGATGAAACAAGGAAGCTTTCAGTGATTTAGTAAACAGACAGATGGTGTACAGCTTATAAGCTGCAGAGGCAGGATTCAATTCCTGGTCTGTTTTACTCAAAAGCCTTATCTTCACCACCATGCAGGACTGCCTCCCCATAGCTAGGATTGGGGAGGTGGCGGGGTCTAGAATCACTTTCAGGTGTCTTGCATAGGTAACCAGGGAAACTGAGATAGACAACACAGGAAGAGAAACAAGTTGTGAGGAAGATGGATTCCATTTTGGACTGTAGTTTGTGTTGTCAGAAAGTGCCAGTTTAGGGGGATTGTACATGAGGAACACCAATCTGTCTCTCTGCGGCTTTACTCCCTCCTCCTGAGCTATACTGGGGGCCTTGGAGCACTCAGCTTTCTGTGTTCTGACTCCCCTTTTCTGCTGTCCAGCAAAGGTAAAAAGGCTGTCCTAAGAGGAGGCCCCAAATCTGGAAGATACTTTGCAGACAGACAAGGCTGAGTGGCCTGTGGAAGGCAAGAGTGAGGGTTAGCAGGCTCCAGGGAGTTAGTTAGCTCTTTGATTGTGATGAAAGGGAAGATGTTGATGAAAAAGACAGGAGTGTGGCCCTTCCCCCAGCGTGGCAAACCACTCAGAGACCAACCAACAGTAAGAAACAGATCACGCCAGGCTCTGGCATCCACAGCTTTTCATGTTCAGATTATGCTTTCAAATCCAACCTGCCAAGTTTGAGGTTTCAGAGTCAGCATGCAGACATTTCCAGTAGTGCTCAGACTCTGACAAGGCCTGAGGTCACAGGTGAGCGCTGTGGGTGTGACAGGAGTAAGGCTGATAGGGACTGTGGGGAGTCCACATGGAGGTCTTTGATTCTCAGCCCAGCACTTTGGTGGGAGGCCCCTGAGTACATGCCCTCCTGGGCTCCCGTGAGTGGGATGACAAAGTGGCGAACGCTTTGTTCTCTGAGGGTCAGGAATAAGAAGCACTTTGTTCCTCAGAAACATCACAGTGCTTTCCTACTCACCTTGCCATGAGAGCACAGGCTATGGAGCAGAGAAAACATCAAAGAAAGCCCAGACACTTAGGAGCTTTTGGCAGGGAGGTTGGAACTAAGTGCTCCAATGACACTGTAGGGGAGGAGACCAGATAGCAATGCCTCTTTCCTCCCACCCATCCAACCTCCTCAGCACAGGGGCTCATCCAACTCAGGGGACATTCCTTCCTCCCAGACTGATCTTTACTCAGAAACCTTTCTAGCCTCTCCTCATCTCCTGACTGTCTTGGCCTCGGCAAGAAGAACACCCGTCCCTACCCAGCTGTCTTCAGCTCCTGTCCTTCCTCCCAGCTGCCAGAGAATTATCAGGTCAGTCTGCTCCTTCTTTCTTCTCTGCATTTTTTACTAGCAGGAATGCCAGGGGCCCAAGGATAATTGGGAAGGGTCTCTCACCCAAGGCCAGTTAGAGCTCGTATTCTGCAAGTGTTGCAGTTCACAAACTTTGCAGAGGCTGAGATTTCTGTGGTGGACCAAGGGAGCAGGGGTGGCTGAAGGTGGGGTGGCTTCACCTTCAGCTGGGTGGTTGGCTGGGTGGCCTTGGGCAAGCATCTCCTCTTTCTGGGTCATGAGAACTCGGTTATGGGTGAAATGATCTCTAAAGTACTGTTGGGTTGGGAATGCTGGGGGCTCTGGGATGTGGCAGACAGTCACTTCAGGCCCACTGCTGCCCCAACCACCTTAACTCTACCAGCAGGAGGAATGACACCAGCTGTGACCCGGCTCCTTTTCCTTCAGCTTGTTCTAGGGCCAACTCTGGTCATGGACATCAAGACGCAGATTGGCAAAAAGAAATTCTATGCCTTAAACATTGACTATCCCAGGGTTATCTTCCCAAAGGGTTTCCAGGGCTATTGTAATGGTCTGATGTCCTATATGCGGGGCAAGGTGCAAAATTCAGATTGCCCAAAGATCCATTATGTGATACATGCCCCTTGGAAGGTCATCAAGAGGTTCTGCAAGTATAGTGACAACTTCTGTGATAATTACAATGAATACTGCACGCTCACCGAGGATTCCTTCCCCATCACGGTCTGCTCCCTGAGCTACCAACAGCCACCCACCAGTTGCTACTACGATAGCATCCTGACCAACCAGAAGCTCTACCTACTCTGCTCCCGCAAGTATGAAGCTGATCCAATAGGTATCATCGGTCTCTATTCGGGAGTTTAATTCCCGAGTCATTCCCCAACCTCTACCACCACAGACCAGCCTGTCTCCATTTCCAACACTCTGATTCCTGTAACAAGACTTCCTTCCCGACTTCTGAGGCAGGCAGAGTCCCCTCCCAAGAGACCAGGTGGGTGGGAAAATGTCCAGGGCTTTGATCACCATGCGAAGTGGTGCTATCTTCTAGGTTCTTTCCAGCTTGTTTACCCCCTCTTAACCCCCACCTTCTCATCATCCTCCCTCTCCCAGAGACAGTAAAACCCACCCAAGAAGTTGACTGTGTCCAGTTGGCAGTGACTGTCCACCCACTGGGCCAGATCCTAAGTCCTGGATGGAGGCCCAGGGCCTCAGCTCACACCATGGCAACAGGCACCAGCTCCGAGTCTCACCTCCCCATCCCCACCACCCTTCTCGTCTCAGCCTCCCCCAGTTCCCTTATAATTCCCTCCACTCACCCACCTACTCAGGGGATATGGCTAGCTATAGGAACCTCCCTGAGGCCTTCAGACTCATGTTAGCCTCACTTCCCCACAACCCCCAGTTTCCAGCCTGTTTCTCTCTGTGAAATCATTGTTTCTCCCTTCATATAACTTTCCTCTCCTCTTTCCTCTTACTATGGAGCCTAGGACTGTCTCTCCCCCCAACTCCCCACCACCTTAGTCACCCTGCCTTCCTTTTTCCAACCTCTTTTTCTTCCAGTCTTCTTACCTTGGCTCACTGGCATTTCAAGGTATCTTCTCTCATCCATTCCACAGAGGTTCCTGCTTCCCTTCTCTTCCAGAAGCTCCTCCCAAATCCCCCAGACTCCAGAGTCTGCCCCTGACCAGGCAGGGAATGAGGCAGGCCCAGCTCTAATCAAACATAAATTTCTAAAACCACATCTGAGTACGTAAGATGTAACCATTGGAGAAAACTGGGTGAAGGGCACAAGAGACCCCTCTGTACTTTTTTTTTTTTGTAACTTTCTGTGAATCCATAATCATTTCAAAATAAAAAGTTAAGAACATACACCTGATTCCTTTGTGATTTAATTGCTCTTTTTTCAGTGCCCCAGAACTCCTGCTCTTGGAATCCTGGCAGCGTCCCCCATCTGGCCATCTTCCTGAGCTACCCTTAGCAGTCTGTAAGCTCTTCTGTCCCATGTGCACCGTGATGGAGGTGATGTGGGGTAAAACTTAGTGCTGGGCTGGGTGTTGAAAATAGACTCTCCCATTACCCCAGCTCTGGAACAAATTTGTAATAGAAGTCAGGCCACCTTAGCTGGCTTCTACTTCTCCACCCAAAAAACCTGAACTGTAACAGATCAGGAAGGTGGAGGGACAGGGAAGGATCTAATACGTGATACAGTCATAGTCCATCACATCAGGAACTGCTACACCCTTTTAGGGGGTGGGGGTGGAGAGGTGAATATCAGTAATATGTGAACACAAGTAGCAAATACTTTTACCTCCACATCTGGTTCATCTCTTAACTTCAAATATATTCTTCCATCCTGTTCTTGGAAGCAACTGTTGAGGAGGAATGCTAACTGATGGCTGGTAGGCATAAGGCTAAGCAGAGTGAAGGGTTTGTTGTTGAGAACCCACACTCCTGCGCTGCCTCTTCTCCCTCTCTCTACACTAGTAGGCCCATCTGTCCCTCATAGACAGAGATTTTAGCTGCTGCACACACAGATGTTTATTATTTTCCAAGTTCCCTGGTGTTAAACATGCAGGGTCAGGGGGCTAGTGAGCTAAGATGAAGCTCCTCCTTACTTGGTCTTCTTATCATAGGTGCCAGCACCCTTGTAACTACTCACATAGCCTGTGTTGTCATTCATCTCTTCCCGTCCGGCAATGCCCTTGCCCTTGCCACTCTCATCAAAGCGCTCCTTGTGGGTGCCGGTGTACTTGCTGGTGTCTGTCAAACGGTCCACTGCACCCACTGTTGTTGCTTTCTGCAAGCCAGAGGATGGATTTGAACCCTCTTCCTTTCCTTACCCTGTCATATCCCTTCCCCAAAGATGGTCAGAGATACTTAGAACAAGTGCTTGGAGCTCTTGCTCTGCCACTGGCATGGGGTGCTGCTTTCTTAGGGCCCAGATGCAGCTGTGGACAGGAACTCTGGTAAGAGCCATTCACTCGTGGGGGAGGAGGAGTGTGGTGTGGGAATGCATGTGGTGTGTGCAGAGGGAGGGTGGTTTTTTTTTGTTTCCAGAGGAAACAAAAATTATTCTGACTAGGTTGCTGCCAGAGGACTTCACTCCCACTCCCCAACCCAATATCCATTGTAGAAAGAGCTTTTAGTTCAGACAGGACAATTAAAAAAGGGAGTAGGTGAGAGGCAGGAGGCCTGAGATTAAACCCTAAATAAGAACTGAAAGAGGAGTGGGCATCAGGTACCAAATCCTCTACACTAATGTCCTCCAAAAGCCACCAAACCCTACCTGCCTGGCTCAGACACTGGACACTTGGAAGTTAGTCTAAATCCACTATTAAAATAGCCATGGACCTTGGGCAAGTCACTTCCCTTCTCTGGGCCACATTTTCCTGACTTCTGGAATATCTAGATGATCTCTAAAGTCTGTTTCTTCCCTGTCTCTACAGTCACACAGTTGGCAGGATTAGGGAGGGTAGACTGGAACAAAGGGGATTTAGGGAAGTAGGGTCAAGGGGATGAAGACTGTCACTCACAGTTGCGCCAGTGGTGGCTGGGTCCTTGCCCTCCATGAGTCCATAAATGCTCTCCAGGACTTCATCTGGACTCTTCCCTTTGAAGCGCTTCTGGCCCAGTTCCTTCACTGCCTCTTTGAACTGTTGAAACGTGATGGTTCGGGCGTTCTTGGCCCTGGTCAGTTAGACAGAAACCAGAAACTTTGGAGCACGAATGCATTACCTTCCAAGGTCCAACTCTTACCTCACTCAGATTTGTCCTCTTTTGTCCTATCAGTAAGTGTCTCGATGACAAAGAATAGCATAGTGCCAGGTACCCTGTGGTGCTTGGTAGGCCCACTGCAAATGTTCCGCCACATGAACCCTTCCATGGCCAACTACCTCGCACTTTCTTCTCACTCCCACCCCCACATCTTTGGCTCCTCACTTGACTTTGCTGAACACGATGTCCACATCTGTGGAGGTGACCATCTTGCCATCCATGATGCCACAGTCTTTGCATAGCTTGGAGAAATTCTTGTTGTTCATTTCAGTGCCACTGCTTGATGATTCTCCAAAGGCAGCAAACCGATTGAATGTTTTCTCTGCCTCTGATGCCATGATCAGCTAGAGGTGGGGGAGGGCGGTCGTGGGAGAGACTTGAGGGTGAAGGAGGAGGGGGAAGGAGGACTGTGGAGTAAAGAGGATGAGTGTTAAGGTAAAATCAGTCAGCAACAGGAACAGCTCCCCTCTTCCCTGTTGGTGTCTCCTCTCTCTCTCCCAGCTCCCACTGACCTACATAACTACAGCATGAGTCTCCCCTTCCCAGCACTGGAGATACCAATATGGATCCTACCTACTGAATGATTCTCTCTTTCCCCCACCTCTTTTATGTACCTAAGATTACCTGGACGGTGATCTGACCCTTCCCGGCCTTTGTATTTAAGTGTGTGCAGATATGTGGTAGCCAGTTGGCTGTTGCAAATGAGGAGACAGAGGGAGGAGAGGGAAATTTCTATGACCTCAGCAGTGCTTATGTGACATCACTTCTGGTCCCAGCTACAGCCCTTGCCTTCAAAGGAGGGGGCTTTTGGTCTCCCTATCTTGCATGCTGAATCGAGCAAACTGCCAACCTTCTGACCTTTTCGGATGATTACATTTCCATCATTTCAGCCAAGCTTACCCATCCTCTGAGTCCCAGTCAAATTGCCTTATGCTCTGCCCCACAACGGAAGTTGAGGCGAGCCCAGGGAAGTTGTTTTAGTCTGTTTGGGCTGCTATAACAAAATATCATAAACTGGGCGGCTTATAAACAACAGACATTTATTTCTCAGAGTTCTGAAGGCTGACAAGTCTAAGATCAAGGCATGGGCAGATTCAGTGTTTCGTGAGGGCTGCTTTCTGGTCTAGAGATGGCACCTTCTTGCTATGTCTTCACGTGGTTGAAAGGGTGAATGAGTTCCCTTGGGCCTATTTATACGGGTATAAATCCCATTCAGAAAGGCTCTGCCCTCATAAAACTAAATCACCCCCCAAATGCCCCATCTCCTAATACCATGACTTTGGGAGTTAGGATTTTATTTATTTATGTATTTATTTATTTTGAGATGGAGTCTTGCTGTCTGTTGCCCAGGTTGGAATGCAGTGGCATGATCCTGGGTCACTGCAACCTCCAGCCCCAGGATTCAAGCGACTCTTATGCCTCAGCCTCCCCAGTAGCTGGGATTAGCCCAGCCACTGTGCCCGGCTAATTTTTGCATTTTTAGTAGAGATGGGTTTTTGCCATGTTGGCCAGGCTGGTTTCAAACTCCTGACCTCAAGTGATCCACCTGCCTCAGCCTCCCAAAGTGCTGGGATTACATGTGTGAGCCACTGCATCCGACTGGGAGTTAGGATTTTAATATATGAATTTGGGGACAATATAAACATTCAGACCATAGCAGTTAATGAAAACAGGCTGGCATTTTTTCTAGTCTCCAGGCTCAAGTGTAGCATGGAGAATCCCACTGACTTTAAAAGGCCAGTCTCAATAGAAACTTTAAATAGCTTCCAGTGTTGGGTCCAGTAGGCCTTGGAGAGTAACAGATGTGGACAGCTCAGGATAAAACTGGGATGGACTGAGGGTGAGGCTCAGACTCTGAAAATCTTTAGATAAGTTTCTATGCAGGTCAAAGATGTTCCTCAGGGTTTTCTCTCTTCGGCCTTTTCTCTGGCCAGAGGCCCTACAGATAGATGAACCTCATGGATCCTAAAACAGAGCAATGAGACAGGTGACTTTCCTCCTTTTCCCATCTAATAATGCCACCAATTTCTATTTTTTTTTTCTTTGTCTTACAAATCTACTCCTTTCTTTCCATTCCTATTACTTCCACCCTTATTCAAGTTCTTATCATCTCATAGTTGGATGACTACTCTGGCTTCTAAATGATCTCTTTCCTAAATCTAATTCTTCACTCCCACGCACCCATAATCCATCTCTATAACCTCCTCCCCATCAGATTAATTTTCACAAAGTAGTATTTTTTATTACTCCTGCTCAGGAACATTCTATGGCTCAAGATATACTACAGCTTCTCATGGCTAAATCTTCTTGCTTAGCATTCAAGGACCTGTACAACTAACTAGGCCCCAATCTACCCTACCAAACATCACCCACCTCTCATCAACATCATTCTTGGGCGGCACACAGTGGCTCACGCCCATAATTCCAGCACTTTGGGAGGCCAACAAAGTGAGACCTTGTCTCTAAATAAATAAATAATAATAAAAAAATTAATTGCAAGCGGTGGCATGCACCTGTAGTCCCAGCTACAGCTATTCAGGAGGCTGAAGTGGGAAGATTGCTTGAGCCCGGGAGTTTGGGGCTGCAGTGAACTAGGATTGTGTCGGTGCACTCCCACCTGGCTGACAGTGTGAGACCCCATCTCAAAGAAAAAAAAATCCCAAAACAAAAACCCTAAGAACCAGATTATTCTTCAGCTGGGGTCATATGGCCTAACTGCTATACACTTGACAGGCTACTTGGTAGTGGAAGGAGCATAGTCCCTGGAGTAGAATGGAGCTGGGTGGGAAAATGAATCCTAGATATGCCATTTACTAGCTGAGTGGACTTGGGCAAGTCACTAAACATTTCTGAGTTTCAATTTTCTCATCTGTACAGTGAGGACAATAACACGAACCTTATGGTATTAGGGGATAATACATGGGAAGCTACTATTCAGTTCTCCAAAGTAACCCGAGCGTTTCTGCCTCCAGACTGTCCTTCATGCTCTCTCTCTGCCTGGATAGAATGCCCCTCACGCCCACTCAAGTATTGCATGATTGCACTTCTCATCTTGGTGGTTCACCCTAGGAACAAAGCCCTTTTCCTTCTCTGAATTATAGTAAGAAAATGGTTTCTAGACTGTGGGCCACAGCCTTCTGGTGTGAGGATTTCTGAAATCTTGCAAAGGGCCCTAGAATCTGTATGTATAAAGAGTGAGTGTAAACTGAGTAAATAATACGCCTTGCATGTGTAGGTATTACTACATTTACAGATGTTGTGACAGAAAATTACTTCAAAGTGTTGATGAATTCATAGTTTGTATTTTCTCCATCAGGGGATACAAAAACTATTATGTGGGGTTGGAAATCTCTGATCACCCACTCAAGAAGGGTGGGAAACTACTGCTACAGGACTTATTGTCCAGATGATTGATCTTATATATACATAATTTTTCTTAACTTGTCCTGTGTTTGTACCTTCTCTTGACAAATGTCAAAATGTCATTGCTCATCACAAACGTCTAGAGAGGGTGTGAACAGACTCACACTTTGAATTTCTTTTTTTTTTTTTTTTTTTTTTTTTTGAGACGGAGTCTCGCTCTGTCGCCCAGGCTGGAGTGCAGTGGCCGGATCTCAGCTCACTGCAAGCTCCGCCTCCCGGGTTCACGCCATTCTCCTGCGTCAGCCTCCCAAGTAGCTGGGACTACAGGCGCCCGCCACCTCGCCCAGCTAGTTTTTTGTTGTTTTTTTTTTTTTAGTAGAGACGGGGTTTCACCGTGTTAGCCAGGATGGTCTTGATCTCCTGACGTCGTGATCCGCCCGTCTCGGCCTCCCAAAGTGCTGGGATTACAGGCTTGAGCCACCGCGCCCGGCCCACACTTTGAATTTCATCTACACAGTGGCTTGCACATAACAGATACTTAAAACTGTTGCTTAGTTGAAGGTATAGTTTGAAGCTGCTCTGGCCAAAGGGAAAGAGTTGAGAGAGAGATTGTCCTTGCAACACTTATACCCTGGTCAGGCTGGGAGCTGCCCTGACATGGAAGAACCCTATCTTAGGGTAGAACCAGCATTACCTCTGCCTGCAGCAGACTGGGTGGGACCCCTACGTCTAGGAAGCCAATGGATCTCAGTGGAAATTTCCCACCTCTTGCCTGCCCTGCGCCCCTGCGTCGGCCCCTTATCAGGTTCCCCCTGAGTCATCCTGACCCAGAGACGAATTTAGATGCTGGAACCTTCAGGTCGTTCCCTCCCCCACTCCAAGTAAGACTACTTTCGACAAAGAAAAGCCTGCAGACAAAGTTCTCACTCCAGGCTCTCCTTCTCCCCAGGTTCCTCTGGGGCTGGTGAGATCTCTCCTGTCTTCCGCACCTTTGGCTATGATCCTTATTCCAGCAGGCTTTTCCTAGTCCAGGAGAGTGTTAAACTGGCATCCAGAGGGAAGAGGGGCCTAGGAGAGGAGCCAGGGTGCCCAGCTTCTGTGCCAGTTTCTAAGGAAAAAGTTATAAAGGGAGTGGGAGAAAGGAACAGAAGAAAAGTTGGGTGCTCCAAATTGGGGAATGTAGTGGGGGCCTTAGATTTGGGGTTGTTGAAGGCTGGGTTTTAGCCCGACCAGTTCTCCTACTCTGGGTCACCTCCTCCCTCTTGGCCTCTCCTTCTTTCCAGTAGACCCTGCCAAGTGGGGATGAAAGGGGCATTGATGTTCCTTGGATGGGAGGGGTATTGCGGGTGGTGAGGGTGGCGGTGGGAGGGTGGTTCCCAGGCAGGAGGGGGGCAGGGGAACTTGGGGGTCTTGGGGGGGCAGTCGGTGCTGGTGTTGCAGTTGGCAGCTCAAGTTCCATTGGCCATTGTTCCTGACTGGCCTGGCGCCCGGCCCCCGAAATGGCAACTCAGGAACCAGTCTGAAGGGGGTTGGGGTGGATATGATCCTGGGATTGGGGGAGTTACAAGGGGGGCAGGTGGGGAGAAATTCAGTCAGGTTTCCTTTTGCCTAAACAACTTCGAATTTCCTTAAGCCACATTATCTAATCAACTATCTCATTCCAGGGAGCCTTCCTCTGAGGGGCACAAAGAGGGCTCATCTGGGGTGTCTGTGTGTGTGTGTGTGTGTGTGTGTGTGTGTGTGAAGTCTAGAGTGGCAAACCCACTTGGGCACCGAGAGGGACGCGGCAGTCCCTGAGACCATCGCCTGGGCATTGCGATTCAGCGGGCCTGAGCTGGTCTCCTTTTCTAGGCCGGACTGGGAGGGGTTAGCGGCGAAGCCACAGGGTCTCTTGGGTCCCAGCCCGGGACACTGCGTCCTACCCAAGCCCCTACTCCACCCCCGCAGGGTTAACTCCGCCCCTGCGCCTGTTTACCCAGGAGTCAGAGCCTCTGGGGGTCCCCGGCCCCTCCCCCGTCGCCCCTTGAGGCATTGACCCCAGAGTCCCTGTTGGCCATCCTCTCCACCCCCCCGCGTCCGCCCGCGATCGCCCTCTATTTATAGCGGCCCCCCGCATTCCCCGCCCCCCCTCCCCGCCTTGTTGTCCAACTTCTCCCGGAGCAGCCGGAGAGCAGGCGTCGGGACGCAGCAAAGAGAGGAGAGGTACCAGGACTCTGGGCACTAGGGAGTCGGAACTCCTGTGCCCTCGACGTTCCCCCGTGCCCCCTTTCGGCGCCGGCACACCTGCCGTTGCCACCGGGCGAGACCCCCGCCTCTTCAGCGGCGGTCCCGCCCACCTCCTCCTTTCTTAATCTAGTTCTCTGTGTTCGGGCGGGGGGATTCGAACTCGTGGGGTGTCAGTATCCCGGGTTCGTCTCCCCACTACCGGTTCCCACCACTGAGTCTGGGGGCGAAGTTACGAGCCAGAGTGCGAATTGCAGATCCAGGTCATGGATGGGGGCGGTGCTGAGGGCAGCCGAGGGATCCCTCGCAGTGCTGAGGGATCTCCGCACTCCCCACACCGCCCCAGTGCGGGGGGTGGGGGGAATGTTATGGTGAGCTCGAGAGGAGCCTGGAAGCGTCCAGCCGCCCGCCCCCCGTCCCCCGGTCCCAGCACAACCCCTCCCTGAGCGGCAGTCTGGGCGGGGTGAAAGGTGGGGCGTGTTTACTGGGGGTCTGGGGCGGGTCTGCGGGGAGCCAAGCGCCCGTGGGCGGGCTGGGGCGGGCCGGGGGCGGGTCTGCGGGGAGCCCGAGCCGGGGCGGGCCCGAGTCAAAGGCAAGTGAAGGTGGAAGCGGCAGCGGCGGCAGCAGGTAGGGGGAGGGGCAGGCGAGGGGCCGCAGGGCCTGGAAGGCGCCAGAGGGGTAGGTGGGCGGTGTGATTGATCCCCGTCCCCTGGAGCTGGCGGCTCTGGGGAAAGGGCCGGCACTGAGGGGGCGCTCGGCTGCTGCGCACAAAGGGTGAGGCTCCGAGAGCGGCAGGGCGTGTTTGGGGTGCGCGCGAGGTTGTGTGCAAGGTCCGGGGCGCTTGGCACCAGCCACGCAAGGGTGTCCGTCTCCACGCGGACGGGCTGCGTAGGGACTCGTAGGGACGGGTTCCGGATGCTGGGCCCGGCCAGTCCCCTCTGTCCTACCCATCCCTTCCCGATGGCGCTTGCTTTCGCGGGCCGTCGGGGGAGACCGGGAGGAGATTGTGGGACCGCCCTCCTCTCCCTTTCTCCACTCGTGGGACCTACACGGAGACTGGGTAGAGGAGAGAAGCGACGGCACCAAGCTTTGTGTTTGTTTTTGTATTGTGGAGGGAAACAGCCATGCTCTGCTACCCTCCTCTTACTGGAGAGCTGTCAAAAATTTTGGGGATCCCCTAGCCCCCCGCGTTTAGTCCCCCTGCCGATAGAAAATTGAGGCCAAATGTAGTAACGAACTGGGGCAAGGTCACACTGGGAGTGGCAGAGCCGGGATTCGAATCCGGAGGTTTCCTCCACATCAGCACTTCCTTCTCTCCTCCGCGCAGCCTGAACTGATGCCCCTGTAGCCTGTATTGATTCCGGCTCGAGCCTAGAGAGGACGTGTTCTCTGGACTCAGGAGTAGCCACGGGGGAGGGTTAGTGACCCGCGGAGGTTGATGACCCTGGGAGTCTGGGTCTTGGCTGAGGCTTTCTGTAACTGAAAGACCCCGGGTCTGTCTCCCATGTCATTCACCTCGTTGCTGTGTTTTCTCAGACCCCAGAGTCAGGAGTGAGAACCCTGACCCCTAATCCCACTGCATCCAGCCAATAGGAGCCCAGTAAGTGACCCCACCTCGCAGGCTGCAGGCTCCTTCCTGTGCAGGTCTGTCCAGGTGCTCTGCTCCTCACCCACTAGTGTTGAACTTACGGAGTTTATTCAGAGTTGGGAGGAAGAGTCTTGGGAGGAAGGGAGGCATTGGGTTGGTTGGACAGATGTCCCTTTTTTGTTGTTTTCCCCACCTCACCCTTTGGTCATGTTACTTTGGTCATTTTTAGCCCCCTTTGAGCTGCCGACCTTGGGGCTTTACTTGAAGGTCATGGTCAATTGTGAGCTCTCAAAATCCTGTCTTTTGGTACCCTGTCCTTTAGAATATTCAGTCACTGAGCTACGAGTTTCGCTCCCTACCTGAGAGTGTGGAGTAGACCCTAAAGATAGCCTGGGAAATCTGAGCTACACTTCTGCCCCACCCTGGTATTTTGGTCCAGGGCAGAGGAGGGAGGGGGTCTGGAGGAGTGGGTGTTGAGGGTGGTGGTGGGGATGGTGAGTATCAAGAGAAGCGGTGTCCTGATTCCTCTTCCAAAGTTTCCACCAATCAGCCTGGAAATGGAGCTGGGGGCAGGAAAGGCCCTCTGCGTGTTCTGGAGTAGTCTTCAACCCCTGGCTCCCTCTGTTCCCTGCATCTTCCTGTGCTGAGAGAGGAAGCCTGGTGTTTGAGGAGATGTGGGGATGTGGAGACAACTTCCCAGTCTCGTTTCCTCATCCTACCAGGCATCATGGCGGAGCTGCAGGAGGTGCAGATCACAGAGGAGAAGCCACTGCTGCCAGGACAGACGCCTGAGGCGGCCAAGGTTATTAGAGACCGTTTGACTCCCATGCCCAAATTGGAGACCTCTAAGCATCCCCCTTGCCTTCTAACTTCCCAAGCCTGATCTTATTCTAACCCACACCACTACTTTCTCCACCTCCACCCTAGTCTCTCTCCCCATACACTACAATTGGGAGTCAGGCCGTTGTCTTGTCACTACACTAACCTTCATCCTTTCCATGTCTCTCTTTGTCAATCTCTTTCTGTCTTTGGTCTCTGTTGGTCTTTACTTGTCTCTCTTTGTCTGTCTGTCTCTCCATCTGGAACACCACATGGTCGTGTGTTTCTGTGTGTATCTGTGTCTGTCTCTCCAGGAGGCTGAGTTAGCTGCCCAAATCCTCCTGGACCAGGGACAGGTAACAGTGTGGGGGCAGTCCCAAGGTGGGAGGAGGGGCTGTCCTCTTCCTCAGTAGAAAGATGGCCTCTGCTTGGCCCTTCTTTCTTCGTTTTCTTTCCTTCTATTCTGTCCTTTCCCTTCCCTATCTCTCACCTCTCCTTCCTTCCCCCCACTCTTCTTTCTCTAATCTTCATTATTCTTTCTTATCCTCAAACTCATCTTCCAGTGTTGTGTTTTCCTCAGTTCTTGCTGATCCTGTTTTTAATTCTTTGTTCCCTTTTCCCCCTTGCCTGCCCACTCCCAGCTCCCTGACCTTGGTGTTGCTCCTTTTCTGGCCTCGTCTTCTCTGAGCCTAGCTCCTGGTGCCCTGTTTTCCTGCAGATTCACTCTGTGGAGACACCGTATGGCTCTGTCACTTTCACTGTCTATGGCACCCCCAAACCCAAACGCCCAGCGATCCTTACCTACCACGATGTGGGACTCAACTGTAAGGACCTTCATTCGTCTCCCACTCCTGTCTGGAAAGAGGCTGTGGAGGAAGGGTAGAAACCCAGAGGGAGGGGAGGGGTCAGTGTGGGAAGGAGAAGTTCTCTCCTAGTCTGTGGCATGAAAAGAAGGGTGAGTTCTGACTGGGGCACATGTTTCGCTGTCTGATTCTATTGTTGAGGTGATGTGGGTTCTCTTTAGATAAATCTTGCTTCCAGCCACTGTTTCAATTCGGGGACATGCAGGAAATCATTCAGAACTTCGTGCGGGTTCATGTGGATGCCCCTGGAATGGAAGAGGGAGCCCCTGTGTTCCCTTTGGGGTAAGAGTTAGGTCGTTACCGCTTCACCAGACTGTGAGGAACAGGACAGGTGTGGGAAAGGTTCGACTGGGAAGGAGGAAAGGGAGGGCAGTGGTGATTCTGGGAGAGTATGAGTAGGATATCCTGAAGTGGGGGGTGCGAGGGTAGGTTGGTATCTTCCTTAACGTGCTTCTCTTTTCCAGATATCAGTACCCATCTCTGGACCAGCTTGCAGACATGATCCCTTGCGTCCTGCAGTACCTAAAGTGAGAGTCCTGGGAACCCCTCCAAACCAGAGTTCTCTTTCCAGCACAAGGAGACCCTTAGAACTTCCAGGTTCACCATGGTTCCTGAGCCAGTTTCAGCTTCTGAACTCAATATATCTTCTTCCTTCATGCTCCCACCTTGATTATTGAGAAAAGGTGGTGGGTTTGGAAAATTGGCCAGAATCAGCAGAGTAGCCCTAATGGATGGAGGGAAGGAAAAGGGTCTATGCTTGGCCCTGCCTCAGGCTAAGGAGGGCCTTCTCTGATCAGAAAGTCAGGGAGGAATAAAAGGGGGTGACATAATCCCTGAGGAACCAGATAGACTTGTCTCTTTCTCTCCTGCTCCCCTCTCCTTCATGCCCACACCTGGTGGGTGGGGAGCTCTGTGGGTGAGAGAGAGTGGGGGAAGGAAGAGAACGCCAGACTATGTGTCTTTGGTATTCAGAGGGAGGTGCTGACCCCTGGGTGCTGTTCTTAGCTAAGCTTCTCCTAGACACCAGGGCTCAGCACCTCTGGTTCAGCACTTTGCTGCTCTTTTCCTCATTCTCCTCTTTGTTCACTAAAGTTGTGTCTGTTTTCACATTTGCTTTAAGTTCCATTCTTCCTGTTCCTCTAGAGGAACCAGGAACTAAAGCAGAACAAGTTGAACTGGCTCTTGAAAATTGAGAATGGACAAAGAGCTATCTATATAGGAAAACAGTGTGTTGGTTGGCTGGTGGATGGGTGTTTGTTTTTAAGACACTAGTTCTCCAGGAGAAAACTGGGATAGACTTCAGGCATCTACCCTGACTACCCGTGCCAACCTTTGGCTCCTTGGGCCCTTCTTTTTCGCATCCTCCAAAGAAAGGTCCGTGTCTGCCCTTCTTTGTGCTCATGGACTCAGGAGGGAGGGTGAAGAGTTTGAAGAGATGGGCTGTGGCAGGTTTTGGACAGCAGAGTCCGTGAGGCATATATTTCTTTCCCTTTCACAGTTTTTCTACAGTAATTGGAGTTGGTGTTGGAGCTGGAGCCTACATCCTGTCCAGATATGCTGTAAGAAATAAAAAGCCCAGATAAGGGAAAGGAGGGTCCAGACTGATTAGGAGAATACTGTTTATTAGTGCTGTTTGGGGGAGGAAGTGGGCACTAGGCGGGGAGTCAGGCTCCATGGGAGTCCAAAAGTGGGTAGGGCTTAGCGGGGAGGGGATAAGGCCATGCCCTGTTTCTCATTTCCTTCCTTCTTCTCTCCCTCAGCTTAACCACCCGGACACAGTTGAAGGTCTTGTTCTCATCAACATTGATCCCAATGCCAAGGGTTGGATGGATTGGGCAGCCCACAAGGTTTGGAGGGGCCTGTGTGCTGAGACCTAGGGTGGGAGATCCCCTTGTATGGATCCAGTGAGGCTCTGGTAGAGTCTAATGCTTGAAGTCTGGATGGACTCCGAACTTCAAGGAGGGAGTAAAGGGGCAGGAAAGTGAAGCTGTCACTTTGCCTAAGTCTCTTATAATATCCTGAACTTTCTTTTTTTCTTTTCTTTTTTTTTTTTTGAGATGGTGTCTCACTCTGTTTCCAAGGCTAGAGTGCAGTGGCTTGATCTTGGCTCACTGCAACCTCCGCCTCCCGGGTTCAAGCAATTCTCCTGCCTCAGCCTCCCAAGTAGCTGGGATTACAGGCGCCTACCACCAAGCCCAGCTAATATTTGTATTTTTAGTAGAGACGGGGTTTCACTATCTTGGCCAGGCTGGTCTTGAACTCCTGACCTCGTGATGCACCCACCTCGGCCTTCCAAAGTGCTGGGATTACAGGCGTGAGCCACTGTGCCCGGCCAATATCCTGAACTTTCTCACCTGTCCTCTCCTCATAGCTAACGGGCCTCACCTCTTCCATTCCGGAGATGATCCTTGGACATCTTTTCAGCCAGGTAAGTGGTTGTAGAAGATGATGTGGAAGAGTCGAGGGGTGCAGCAGGGAACTTGAATGCTTGGGCTAACTTCCTTAGCTGGGACAGAATTTGGGGAAGGAAGAAGGCTTACCTCTTTTCCTCCAGTAATTGTTGGTTTCTCTTTCCATCCCTAATGTTTTTCCTTGTTATCTCCTTCAGGAAGAGCTCTCTGGAAATTCTGAGTTGATACAAAAGTACAGAAATATCATTACACATGCACCCAACCTGGATAACATTGAATTGTACTGGAACAGCTACAACAAGTGGGTGGGCTGCGTGTGTATGCCTGTGAGAGAAATGCAGAAGCAGTAATTGGGGGTCATGGGGAGGCACACAGGAGGGGAGGGAGGTCTGGGTAGTGTGCAATGTGCAAGGAATGCAGCATTTAGTGTGCAATGGGGGCAGCTTCAGGACAGAGCCAGTGGGAAGGATTGCAAGGGGTTGTCCCCCTTCTCTTGTTTACCTCCTTTGGATTATTGGACTTCCAGAAGTAAGATAACCTTGTATCCTGTGCCCTTCCTCCCCTTTTGCTGCCCTCTGACCAGGGATCTAGGGCACAAGTGATTATAGGAGCTGTCCTTGGGGCCTGCCTGCCACCTTCTCCTTTGGTTTCCACTTTTAATAACCAATATTTGACTGTGATTTTTGGGACAGTGATAGTTCCATCATGGGGGAGATAGCTTATATCTGGTTAGATAGCACTGCCAACCTAAAATTCCTACTCTTTTAACCCCTTTCCAGCCGCCGAGACCTGAACTTTGAGCGTGGAGGTGATATCACCCTCAAGTAAGACTTTAAGAGAGAATGCATTGCCTGTCTCCCTGGATCTTCCCTAGGAGCTTGTATCCCTTAGAAGAAGGAGAATCTTTTGCCAGGGAACTTCCTTGTCATGTCCCACCCCATCCTATTTGGTAAATCACTTCCCTCTAGGTCTTCCCCCTTTGAATCCTCTTGGTGGCATCAGTAGGGAAACACAGAAGGCTCTTTTCTCTTTGGAGCCAGACATTTTTCCAGCTGCACTTCTAGGCAGAGGCCAGTGAGGGAGTGTCAGGGGCTCACTGCCTTCTCCCCAACACTGTGTCTTTAGGTGTCCTGTGATGCTGGTGGTAGGAGACCAAGCACCTCATGAAGATGCAGTGGTTAGTAGGGGATTTTGGGATGAGTGAGGGAGGAGCGTTGGGGTCCTAGAGTGGTGGTCAGAAGAGTATCTTGCCAAGGGGATGCCCTGTTTGGCACAGGGAGATCAACTTTGGGGCACTAGGAATTTGATCCCTGGTAAGGAGTAACTGGGTAGGGAGCTGATAGAAAAGGGAATGGGGTCTGGGTTCCTGGGTCCTTTATAGGGGGAGGGGCCACAGTGGGCGTGACTCATTCATTCAGTCTCCTGCTTACTCCAGGTGGAATGTAACTCAAAACTGGACCCCACCCAGACCTCGTTCCTCAAGGTCAGTAACCTGCTCCTGGGCCCCTGTCCAGAGTCATATATCCTCTCTAAATTCAGCTGCTAAGCCTCCAGGGCCCTGCATGGGAACAAATGGGGTGAACGAAGAACAAAACAAAGGGGCTGGAGTGAAGAAGCTAGGGAAGAGAGACCCTTTCCACCTCTCCGCATGGCTCATTTATGTATGTTTCACTTTTTCTGGGTGGCGCTCTCCTGAACAGATGGCTGACTCTGGAGGTCAGCCCCAGCTGACTCAGGTGAGTAGCCCTGCCGTCCATGGAATGGGGAAGTGACATAGGATACTGGTGGCATTGGGCTCTGCCTTTGCCACACATCCCATCCCCACAATGCCACAGCCTCAGGCTCCAGCTCTGCCTCTAACCTCATCTCACTGTCTCCCTCGCCTCTTCTTACTTCCGCAGCCAGGCAAGCTGACTGAGGCCTTCAAGTACTTCCTGCAAGGCATGGGCTACAGTGAGTATGGGGACAAGAGATTGCTGCACTGTAGGAGAGATGGGCACTGACGGGGTGGAACTGTTTTAGGTTAATGCCTGGACTTACCACTATCTGCCCAGTCGAGCTCATTGATCCCCTGGCTTAGTTATAACTAGTCATAATCCAAGGACCACACCCTGAGTCGCCAGCCCCATTTCCCCACTTTCTCTCTGACTGCTTGTGCATCCTTCTGTCTCCACAGTGGCCTCATCCTGCATGACTCGCCTGTCCCGGTCTCGTACAGCCTCTCTAACCAGTGCAGCATCCATTGATGGCAACCGGTCCCGCTCTCGCACCCTGTCTCAGAGCAGCGAGTCTGGAACTCTTTCTTCGGGGCCCCCGGGGCACACCATGGAGGTCTCCTGTTGAATGACCCTTGTTGCCCTAGTGTGGGACCCAGCCCTCACCTCCCCCAGAACTAACCTGGGAGGTGCTGAAGGGGCATTGGGCCAGAGTAAGCAAGGGAAAAAGGGCAGATCATGTGGGGAGATGACCTTGATCTTTGATTGCTACCCTAACCTTGACCTCTAACCTGTGATTCCCCCCAGCTCCTGAAAGAGATGTCCTAATATCTCTTAGGGACCCAGACCCCTAAATTCTCCTCCTCCCCCATTTTGGTGTTAAGGTGGAGAGGGCATGTATCCTCTGTCCTGATCTAGGTGTCTGTAGCTGAGGGGTAAGAGGTTGTTGTAGTTGTCGTGGTGCCTCCATCAGACTCTCCCTACTTATCCCATATTTGCAAGGGGAGGGATTTGGGGCTGGGACTCCATTTACCAAAGCTGATATGGCTTCTCATTAACCCTTTAGGACTCTGAAGGGTATGGACCTACATGAATGTGTGTCAGGGGGAGACTTGCTGGTGGGTTAGTGGTCCTCAGGATGTGATAGAAACATCCAGGTGTAAAAAGGAAGTTGGAATGGGAATTGGTGGGCAATGAACAAGTGTCGGGGAAGGACTGGTGCTGGGGAAACAGGAAGGGGCCTGGGGCCATTTGGCTGCACTAACTTTGGTAGCTCTCAGTGTGCATCTAGAGTGGGACTGGGGGGGAGCTAAGCTTGGGCTGGGCTACTTGGGGCTTGGCATAGAGGTGGAAAGGGCTATCCTGGGGCTCTGACCACACTGTATTATGTGTGGAGGGTGCCCTCCTGTCTCCCACAACTTCTGCTATAACAATAAACTGTAGATGAATTTGAGTACCATTATTGTTATTTGTCTAGGTATGCCTGCATCATGCTCTTCTTCCTATCTTCTCCCTGTCCAAGTCTCTTATTCTCTTCTCAAAGTGATATAAACCCTGGGAGAGGGCCTTTGTGGCATAGGCACTTCACAACATATGACCATGTAGAAACTGGCCCTTTTCCAATACAATGGTGTTGCCTTGATATTGATAGTATTTTTAAGCTTGGGAGAGAGGAACCATTTAGATCTTAGGAGACTTCCTTATCAACTATGGGTAACTGAGAAAGGCCACAGGATTTCAGAGATGCCACCAACACCACCACCTTCAAGAAAGAATTGAAGAGGCTGGGCACGGTGGCTTGCATCTGTGACCCCAACACACTTGGGAGGCTGAGGTGGGCAGACCACTTGAGCTCAGGAGTTTGTGACTAGCCTGGGCAACATGGTGAAACCCATCTCTACAAAAAATACAAAAATTAGTTGGGCTTGATGGTGTACACCTATAGTCCCAGCTACTCGGGAGGCTGAGGTGGGAGAATCACTTGATCCTAGGAGGTGGAGGTTGCAGTGAGCCACAGTCACACCACTGCACTCCAGCCTGGGCGACAGAGTGAGACTCCATCTCAAAAAAAAAAAAAAAAATTGAAGGCTGATGACAGAAGTGCCCAAGGATATCTTGAGACCCACCTTCCTGTAGGATCCTCCCTGGGGGGTCACCTAAGATTCAATTTTGGATGTTTTAGTGCAATCAGTAGACCAGGTACATGAACTTACTCTAAGGGTTGGGCTGCTCGTAGTTCATTTTCATCTGAAGACTCTTTCAGGAGGGATGCAGCAAAAAGGAGGATTTCTCTTGGGAATTCCTCTTCCCTCATGGAATCCAACAGATCTGGGAGCTAACTAAGTCTGTTTGTGGTTTATTTATAAAGAAGCTTTTTAACAACTATGAATAATCAAGAGGAATTCTTATTTTGCAGCTGTTGCAGGCTGATTCTTAGGGTCTTGAGGCACAAGAAGTGAAAATGAGGAGGGACCTTGTAGCATTATTGGCAACACTACTGTGATGGAATATTACAAGGTCTTTTGCTACATTGCTTTATAGAAACTCCACAGGCAATTATACCCTTTCCTCAATGGAACTGAGTTGAGGACTAATGCACTTGATGTCTGGTGCTGACACACTGATTGACATGGAAATAGGACATGGAATATGCCCTTGATTCTTGAGCATTTCGTCACTCTCCTTCATAGAACTGGGTCTATTTTAAATGTGGTAGGCCAGGGTCAGAAGGGGAAGCGGAGGTATTGGGTAACAAACAGGGTTGTGGAGCGCGTTATTGGATGGTGAGGGTGTTGGGTGACCCCACGCAGGGCAGGCAGCAGAGTACTGAAGTACCACGCTGCAGAAAAGAAGCGGCATAATTGGAATCATTGGGGACCAAGTGGCTTCTCAGAAAAACACAAGGAAAAGGCAAAAAACTATAACCAGCATCAATCTTTGCTGCTCTTGTGTATTATGGACAGGAAGGCAAGTCTTTTCTGCATATCTGCCTACATAGATAACACTGTCAGCAGGGCAATCTCTAGAAATGGGAGCACATTACATGTATGTGTACATAGGTGAGTGTGTGCATACACATCTATCATGTAGGTGGGTGTGTCAAATGGGTGATGACTGTGTATCTTTCCCATAGATGTCTCTGCATAAGAAATCTGAGTTTCGTAGAGAAAAAGATGCCCTCTTCTGGGAGCTAGTCTTGGGGTGGGGGTTTTGTCCTTGACTGACCTCCCTACTCTGTTGGAGAGTGACGAAAAGCTCAAGAATCAAGAGCATATTCCATGTCCCATTTCCGTGTCGAGCAGCTCAACATTCTAGTTTAGCCCATGAGGACACAGTGCCCCCTTGTGGTTAACATGGTTCTTAATAACTTTCCCCAGTTCCCAGGTCCCTTGGTGTTTCCTCCATCTTACAGCTCCATTGTACTTTGTGGTTCTGTGTAGTAGCTCTATAGAAAGGAGGTCCTAATATCACGGTTGGCCATTGATCTTGACCATTTTCAAGATTTTTAAGATCAGAGCTGGGAGGCTCAGAGGAGAGGAGAGGTGATTTTACAGAAGTAGAACCACAGTCTCCCTACTTTTTGTCTCTGCTTCGGGTTTAGGACTCCTGTTTCTCTCTTCCCCTTATTGTCAAGGAATGTGAGTATTTCCCAGACTTTAGGGACAAAAGTCCAAGACAGCTAAGAGAACATTCAGTGGGAAAGAGAGTGAAACAAGAACAGAGTGAAAAGAGCCTTATGGTTTCAGCTTGAAAATTCAGGATCTCATGAAGAGCTTTTAAAGGGTGAGTCTCTAAAGGTACACACAAAACAATGAACCTGCAGTAGGAGGGATGGATGTTAGACATTAGAGAGTATATGAATGGTACGGGAAAATACTGGAATGGGAGACACCACCTTCCTCTCTCTCTCTTCTTTTCCTTCCCTTCCTTCCTTCCTTCCTTCCTTCCTTCCTTCCTTCCTTCCTTCCTGGCCAGCTGGCCGGCGCAACGCCGGCGCAGCAGCAGCGGTAGCAACTATATCAAAGCGGCTGCAACAACTTAACGGCGCGTGCGCAACAACAGCAACTTTTCAAATAGGGTCTCATTCTGTCACCCAGTCTGGAGTGCAGTGGTGCGATCTCTGCTCAGTGCAACCTCTGCCTCCTGGGCTCAAGCCTTCCTTCCTTCCTTCCTTCCTTCCTTCCTTCCTTCCTTCCTTCCTTCCTTTCTTTCTCCCTTTCTTTCTTTCTTTCTTCTTTCTTTCTCTCTCTCGCTTTCTTCTTTCTTTCTTTTCTTTTTCTTCTTTCTTCTCTTTCTTTCTTTCTTTTTTTTCAAATAGGGTCTCATTCTGTCACCCAGTCTGGAGTGCAGTGGTGCGATCTCTGCTCAGTGCAACCTCTGCCTCCTGGGCTCAAGTGATTCTTCAATCTCAGCCTCCTGAGTAGCTGGGACCACAGGTGTGTGCCACAATGCCCAGCTAGCTTTTTGTATTTTGTGTGTGTGTGTGTGTGTGTGTGTATGTATGTGTATATATATACACATTTCTTTTTTTTTCCGTAGAGACAGGTTTTTGCCATGTTGCCCAAGCTAGTCTCAAACTCCTGAGTTCAAGTGATCTGCCCGCCTCAGCCTCTCAAAGTGCTAGGATTACAGGCGTGAGCCACTGTGCCTGGCTGGGAGACACCACCTTTCTAGAGCAATTTGAGGACTAACTAGAAAGTGAGAGTCAGTTCTGACTAGAGGCCAGGGTATGGTGAGAGCAAATAGTGCCCAGAGCAATGTCATTTGTTTGTATCTTCTCTCCTCACTAACATCAGAATTTCCCACGAATTGGATAAATACACAGTGAAATTAGAATGTCTTGTGTATTTGACATTCAACAACTCTGAAGACAGTAACAAAGAACACAATTTAAAAATTTTAAAAATCAACAACTAGCATTTTGTAAGCATTCCCACGCTGGGAATGCCTCTCTGCACTATCCCTCTCTGCACCTCTTTTGCTTCCCCCTTGCTAGTGGCAGTGGGCTCCCTGCTCAGGTCAGTGGGGGGAACGTGAGGGTGTCTGGCTGGTTGCCACACACACATACAAACCCACTGAAACTCTGGCAGCTGTTCCTTGTACCTGATCAGACCACAGGCAGGAGCAAGGGACTGTTTCCTGTGGTGAGGGTGGCAAGACACTCTAAAATTGTCCTTCAGGGCGAGGTGAAGTGGTACAAACTCTCATAAGAGTTTGTCTGGAGCTCTTTGGTTTTTGTTCCTAGATGGTTCTTGTCCTCGTGTGTTGATCTCTGACTGACCTCCCACCCTACTACTGAAACTCTAGTTTGTCTCTGATGCTATTCCCCAGCTCTCTTTCTTTACACATTGTCATCCTACAGCTGCAATATTCAAATCAAACCCTCAGCTTGAAAGCAAAGGGAAGATGAGTTCCAAAGGGTTACTTTAGAGAAAAATGTACTGGTGGCAGAAATGGAAAGCTGGCTGTAGGAGGGCAGTTGGAGGTATCATTGTTCTATTTTCTTCCTCTTTAAGTACATACAAAGTACGTATGTGAAGTGGAGAATGAGGGGTAGGGACGGAGGACAGGGATTGGGGAGACTTGAGAACTGCTCTACATAAATCCTTTCCTGACTATTCCAACTAGTTTTCCCTCATCCTCCCTTTTCCCATCCTGCATGTCCTTCCTTTGATTTTTTTTTTTTTTTTTTTTTTTTTTTTGAGACAGAGCCTCACTCTGTTGCCCAGACTGGAGTGCAGTGGTGCAATCTCAGCTCACCGCAACCTCTGTCTCCCAGGTTCAAACAATCCTCTCACCTCAGCCTCCCAAGTAGCTGGGACTACAGGTGTGCATCACCACACCCAGTTAGTTTTTTGTATTTTGTGTGTGTGTGTATATATATATACATGTACATATATGTGTGTGTGTGTATATATATCTTCTTTTGTAGAGATGGGGTTTTGCCATATTGCCTGGGCTGGTGTTGAACTCCTGAGCTCAAGTGACATGCCCGCCTTGGCCTCCCAAAGTTCTGGGATTATAGGCATGTGCCACTGTGCCTGGCCTTTCCCTCTTTTTTATTTTTTCACCTCTCATCATTCTAGTTATCATTTGTTATAATCTATCTCTTAGGACTGAGTGAATCAAGGCTTACTCCTGAATCAGGTTAGTAGTCACCATGCCCCAGGCATCTCGGCTCTCCTTCCTGTCCTAGGGTCCTTATGCCTGTTCTTATTCCAGCCTTTCTTGTTTTAATCTCATTCAGAAATCACATTCATCTTCTGCTTCTGTATAACCCTTTCTGGCTCCTTGCTGGGAATTCATATCTTCTGAAAACAATCAAAAGATTATTTCAGTTTCCTAGTACTGATGTTTGCCCTGATATTCTCTACATGGAGCCATTCTCTAGCTTTATTCTAGCTCTTGAAACAATATGGTTCAAACTAATGATGGTTCTGTTCCTGGTTGGTA